TTTTTTTTTTTCAAATTTGCAACAGTTTGTGAATATGAATACCATCTATAATTCTGTGTTAATTTAAAAACAATTTACGATATTTTCTGGATTGCATAGTGGTGAAAAATTTAGGTTTGGGCTGTTGTTGAGGAAACAGCAGGATGTAAGCTGTAGCTGTCGAAGCTCATAATTTTCAAAACTTAAAAATTCAAATTTATGGCAATATATAAAGTATTATTTATAATTCCATGTCAACTCAATAAACAAATATTTAATAAGAAATTAAGTCTGCTCGTTCTTTCGGGGAACAAAGCCCACAGGATGCCGCTCGACAACGTAAAGCATCCCTTAAGTGGCAATATTTTATATAATATTAAGTGCTAAACTGCTTATTAGGTTCAAGCAGAATTATGAACGCTATCCAGAGAGTAGACATTGGCTAACAGTAAGGTGTAGATTAAGACACTTCGGTCCACTGAGCTGCACCCGTCTTAACTGGACCTCGTCACTACAGCGTTTGCTGCATATTATTTAACAATGAGTTTAAATGAAAAGGTGAAAAGTTTAATTACCTAAATGTGCTAAAATCCATTAAAAAAATAGCATATTACGTGATAAAACAGATAAGTGTTCCCTGAAAATTCAACTCCGGCCTTGAAACCTCAGAACTGCTTAATAGGTAAGAGAGGCACCAAAATTTTTTGAAAATTCTCTTTTTTTGCTCTTTGTGAAGTTGCAAACATCTTTATGAGCAATGGTGTTGAGACTGACTGATGAGAATTAGGTGTATCGGGATATAATTTATCATCGAAATTATAATTTATTACAGGCTGAACAAACGGGAGATGGGAAGAAAGATAGTAAGGAAAATGGTAAAAAGGGAACAAGCGAAGAAACAGCAGGATCACCGGTTCCCGGAGAATCAGAAATAAAAGTACAGGCAGTCCAATGCCCAGTCATGACGGAAATGACGCAACAAAAAACGACGAATGTGACACTGGTAACAGATGACCTTTTGACAACTTAAGTTTGACATGTTTAGTTCCAGGATTATCCGAAATGCGAGTATGAAGTTCGATGCCACGGTGCAACTATTCCATGCCCTTCGACTTTGGAAAATCCTGTCCCTTTAGGACCAATTGGCACCAATTGACTCAGTCATTTAAGCGTGCTTTGACCTATAAGTCCCTCCTGTGGTCATTTTCCGGTCACAAGTACCACAAATTGTCACGCAATGCTGACCAGCAAAGTTAGACCGCAGGAAAACAGCATGATTCATTCGTTCCTTTCAATAGCACATGCCAGGCAGTCAAAATCGCCATCAGCTTGCTTGTAGGCAAACCTTAAATGAGGGGACCATTGATAGCTCTGTCACATTTGCTTCGAGTGCTAACTCACACTTGCCTTATTATAAACAGTGAAAAATGGAGGGAGTATGGCTCCTGACTTTTTTTTTGTATGCGAAAAGAACGGTTTCCTGATCAAAAAATGTTTTAGTTTAATGAATTAACCCACATTTTTTATATAAGACTCAGAGTCTTTGAAGTGGGACCTATGTTATCACGTAGTCTGCACTGCTATCTACGCAGCTGGCAACTTTCCTGTTTGCTTTGACCAATGCTTTATTGCCCAGTGGTCAGCCTATCGGCAGTGTTGGTATCCGTTTCGTTTCCCAAGAGTTGTTAGCTCAGCGGTCCTTTAAATATAAAGATTTAGCAAGATTTTTATAAGTTAATTAGAATTCTCAGGCGGTGAAAGATTGTTTTCACAAACTAATCAATAATCCACAAAGTAGTGCTGATTTGCTAGCCGAATCACTCGGTAAATTCAAATGATACGATTAAATGCTATAAAATTGGGCGTCTGGGAAGCCTCAGAGGGAACTATTATTCGATGACCACTGGTTTTTTTGCAGGGCGTGGGAGCAGAAAAAGAAATTCCAGTAGATAAGAAAGCTGTTGAAGTGGACGAAAACAAGCCGGCGGATGAACGAGACACTGTATGTTACATCTCCAGGAAGGGTTATGAAGGTGCAAAAGTTGTGGACACCGGGAACAGGGAAGAAATTAAAAATAACAATAATGATAACAATAATAATGTTAATAACAACGACAGTAATAATAGTGATAATAATGACAATAATAACAATGAAAACTATCTGTGTTAATAGTAATTTAATAATTCTAAGAAAGCATAATTTATTTTGCATAAA